CCGACGGCGTCGAAGTTTTCTTAATAACGGAATCCTGAATTCCGGCTGTTTCTCGAAGTAGGTCGTGCTCCGCGCGATTTCCTAGGTCGTATCTCCATTTCCTGCGCTCGCGCCGACTCTCCCGCGCGCGCACCCGTGTCGTATCTATCCCGACCCTGCCTGCCGTCGTCGTCGTCGTCGTCGTCGTCGTCGTCGTCGTCGTATCGGAGTTTCTCCTCGGGGACATAATTTCAAAATAGAGAGCTGTGTGTGTCTTTAATGCCGGAACGACGTTCTCGGAGTTTTAATTAAGACGATCGATAACGCGCGAAGCGGCGTTTTCTTTGATTTCACAACTCAACTTCTCTCCGCTAATGTGGTCGTTAAATACATATCGAATTTCCGGCGCGCGCACGAGAGAGGATCCATAAAAATCCACATGGTCTGACGTTGCGAAAAGCTCTCTGTAAATTGTACATCGCAACCATATGTTATTTATACGTTATTTTAAATTCTATACGCGCGTTTACGGGGTTTAGGGGGAGGCGACAGAGGTTGCAACGTTGTCTAACGTTGTAGTTTTCGAGCGTAAGAAGAAGAAGAACGCTATCGAAAACTTTTACTCGATTAATTATGTAATATTAAACGTCCTCTTCAAATTACACACCGTGAGAGCGTAATGTAATCAGTCGCTTGTTTAATAACGTTTATTAGCTCAAGTAATTACATATTATTACATTTAATAGACTGCGCGACTTAATTGCGAGTCATGTAAACAACATTCTCTGTTAATTCATCACGCGCGAATTGAATTCTCGTTTTCGCGTGTACGTGTGTGTTTACTCGGTACAACAACAACAAAAAAAAATAATAATAATAATAAAAATTAACGATTTTCGTAACGCGCAACGCATATGGTTGTTTACGGGGGAGGATCCATGATATTGAAAATGATATTGTAAGAAAATGTTATTAAACACTCTGTTTGTTTGATTTTTCTTTTGTCTTTTTTTTTTTTGTTTTGTTTACAATCGGATCGCACGTTTTGAGACGTTTCCATTAGCGACGCAATAATACTTAAAATGCGATAGTGAATTAAATGGAGATGTCAAATACAGAGAGAGCGCGCGCTTTCTCGCATGTAACATTCGCCGTTTCTATGCAATAACCGATCAATATGTGCGCTGTTTCTCTTCGGTTTTTTTTTTTTTTTTTTTTTTTTTTTTTTTTTTTTTTTTTTTTTTTTTNTACAATATATAAACTGTTTTTCATCAGCGGTAACTCGAAATTGTAAAATGCACATTTTTCGACCGTTTGCTCGCTCGTTCGTGTTCGAAATGGATTGACAAAATATGACCGAATAATTTTCTAAATAATCACGATTTCATGAAACACGTCAAGTTTGATGTAACAATACGAGATGGGCGGCGGATACAAAAATTGATGTATTAATTAATTAAAATATCTCGGAGAGAGGGAAAAAAACGAGAGAGAGAGAGAGAGAGAAATATGTGCGCGCCTTATATCGGTCACGGATAAAACATGCGGAAAAAAAACAGATGAAAAATGAGGTCTCCCCGCGAGATATACGCCATACGCTGGTGCGCCTTATTCCGGCAAAAAAGTGCATGTAACCACGAGGAATGACTTCTTGCCCGGGGAAAGGTTAAATGGCGAAGAGTCGAACGATCTCATTGAGAGAGCGAGAGGACGAGAGAGAAAGAAAGAGAGAGAGAGAGAAAAAGAGAGAGAGAGAGAGAGAAAAAGAGAAAGAGACAGAGAGATAAAGAGAGGCAGAGGATAGGAGCGAAGAGGTGGATTACTGTTTCGGGTTTTTTTCCTTTTCACGCGAAAGTTGACCTTACGCTTTTAAAACGGTTCGTTGATTCTCTCGGTTGGATTTTCATTTAATTTAAACGACAGAGAGCGCGATATTTTTCAGTGCCGCCGGTTTCGTGTTTCTTCTCAACGATGTCTCCTCCCCCGCTCTCACACTTCTTCTCCCCGAGGGCCCGCGACACGCTAACGAGCGTGTTTGAAATTTTGACAAATTTCACGCTAGTATTTTGCTCGCGAGCCCGAACTAACAATGTAAACGTCGTTACTCGTCCGTCCCGCGCATTAACGGTTTTAATGCGCGCGGGAAAAGTCGTTTCCATTACATTTTACGAATGCGCGCGCTGACGTGTGCGTGCGTGTGAGCCGGGGGCGATATATATTCAGGTACGTACCGCGTAAACGTTTGTTACCTCAAACTTATTATTACAGTTAGCATACACTCCCCCGATGTTATCCATTAACGTAATGTTGCGCGATACGTGTACAATCGCGTGTATCAACGTGCAACTAACATGGGGGGGAGGGACGGGGCAGCTAATTCAGCCGCGGGGGCTGAAACGATAAAGCGATCCGCCTTGTAAGAGCAAATGCGACTATAACGGAGAGCGAAAAAGGGGGAAAAAACGGGAAAGAAGGAGGAAACGAGAAAAGAGGGAGAGCTTAGCTCGCTCGCTTTCACCAATGAGACCGTCGAAAAACTGATGGCTCGCGCGATAGACACTCGTCCGATGACCCGTCAAAAATTGACTTTCACGCTTTGCCACGTGTTCGGTTACGCGTTTCGCGCATACGTCACATAGCTTTGGTATATTCGCGCATATATGTGCGTGCACGCGCGATTCGAACAAAAAACCACGCGCGAAATCGGCGCCGGAGGGTGAGAGAGAGAGAGAGAGAGAGAGAGAGAGATCGTCGGTTCGTCAAAAATCAAATGCAGCTCGCTTGTTTGATAAACGGGGTGTCGCGGATCGAAAACGATCTTCCCGCGGCGACCGCGAAATTCTCTACTTTACGGGCGGAACCTAACGACTTCGGTCGCGGTTTAAGAGCTATACGTCGCGCAATTAATTCCTCTAAGTTCCCCCTCCGGGCAAGCAAATCGATGCAAATCCTTGAACAAAATCCCTTACGTCGCGCGGCCCGCGCTTCGTATAATAACTCGGTCCAACATCGGATTTGCCTATCCAAACTCCTATTAAAAGCGCGGCCTCCTCATCCTCCCCCTTGCACGGGACGACCCGTGTCGATAATTTAGATCATCTCTCGACAACGAGGAGAAATCAAATCGAGAGAAAGAGAGAGAGAGAGAGAAGAGAGAGAAAGAGAGAGAGAGAGAGAATCCACTTCCCTTTCTCTCATTCGAAATTCATGCAATATTACGAATACATACATACACACAACCTGGACTGGTTAATTAAAAAACAATTTCCGCGTAGCATGAGAGCCAATAAAAGCAGACCGCAGATGTGGGTGCGTGAATATTTATACATGTGATTGCTTCTATAATGGTTTATTTCAAACGGTTCTCAGATATATATATATATATATATATATATATATATATATGTTTATATAGATATATATATATATATATATACACTTACGTATACGCTTTATGAATCCTTCGCAAGTTGCAGCAAAATCAAACAAAAAAAGACTATATATGTAATATTCTCTCGGTGCAATTTTTCGGCGAAAAGGTGCAGCAAAGCGCGCGCGGACGGGTTGAATTTTTGAAAATCAAGCCAGCGTGTCGGAAAACAGGCCATTAGTAATGCAACGCATCGCTTTGCAACTTCGAACTGCTGCTGGCGTAGTCTGTCTCGTGATATGGAACATCTCGAATATCAGACGTTCGCGATACGGGCGCTTGCGATTCGATACATGTACACATTACCCAGTTGAGACCAGTATCGTTCGTGACGTATGTACGTACATATCGCGACTCGATGTTATTTTAATTATTTCGATTTTGGAGATATATTTGTTTGTTTTTTTTTTTTTTTTCACAGTTTTTGATACACCGAAAAAAAACACACACACATTATAATCGCGCGGACACTTTCGTCGAGAGTGACGTCGCCGGACGCGGCGGACTAATTCGTTTGTGAGAATTGAGAGTAAACAATTTTTTTACAAATTAAACAAATTTCTCCTGTCGGTGGAGTTGTCGCGATTAACGTCTCAGCGATTAACAGGAAAATCGCAACGCAAGATGAAAGACCCGGGGAGTGCGAATTTCCCTACGATAACGCCTCCGCACGTACACATTTGTCACGTGGTCGGTGCGCGATTTAGAGGAGAATGTACGCGGTTGAAAAAGTTCCGCGCGCGCTCCCGAGCATTGTGAGAGAGTTCTCAGCTCGTATCTCCGGGAAATTTCTTTTTCGAAAACTCCGAGAGGTCGCAACCGAAAGAGAGAAAAGGACAACGAGAAAGAGAGAAAGTAAGTGGGAGCGATGAAGCGGACGAAACGAGGTTTACTCCCGATGAAACGAGGAGAGCCTCCTCCTCGTGTACGCGTCGTCCTCCCTTTCTCTCTGTCAAAACAGCTTTTCTTCCGCGAAACACGCGAGTCAGCAAAGAAAGAGAGAGAGAGAGAGAGAGAGAGAGAGAGAGAGAGAGAGAGAGAGAGAGAGAGGAAAGGGAATGGCAGAGTGAGAATCCGAGCGAGTAAACGGCAATAAAATTCATCCCGAATGCCTTTCGCGCGAAATCTCGTTCTATTTCCGTTTGTTGTGTCAGAAATTGGCGCAAACGTGTAGAGGGAGAAACATCCGTTCTCGAAATGCGCCGTGTGTCGGACAGCACGCGCGTGTAAATCACCTCGTCGAAATTCTTCAGTCCGTCGTGTGTGTGTGTGTGTGTGTACACACACTTGACTTTTGTCGCCGACAAAATTTATTTCGCGAGAACTTCTTACGTTTTTTACTGCAACAACAAATGGACGAGCGCAGACATGTATAAATATAAACAAAGAAAAGATCTACGAGCTCGAATACAAGCTTCGTATCGCGGCGCGCGAGTTTTTCCCGCAGATTCGAACATAAATTGGTACGTAAGCGCTACTCGAGCGTGTGTGTGTGTGTGTGTGTGTGTGTATGCGTGAGTGTGTGAAGAGACCGCGCGTGCAACCTTGAAGGAGAGGTCTCTCTTGATGAGAAGAAGAAGAGATAGTTTACCTTGATGAAACGCGGTACGCGCGACGCCGTGCGCGACGCCGTCGAAGCCGACGAATATGAGAAGCGGTGCAAGCGCGGCGAACATCGGGACCGTCCTGGTACGCGCGACATTCGCGCGGGCCTGCTGCGGCGGCGGCGGCGGCGGCAGCGGCGGCGACGGCGGCGGTGGTGTCATTCCTAACTTCGGCGACGCACTCGCGCGATCTCCGATCGCTCGGGCCTCGCTCCTCTTCTCTCTTTCCCCGGGTGCAATGTCCTATATCACCCGCGATCGCTCTTCCCTCGCGATTGGTCCACGATTAGCGCACCTGGTGTCGCCTGGAGCGCCTTCTGCGCGCCTGGCACGTGCTCCTCGCAGCTCCCGGCCGAGCGTCTCCGCTCATCTCCGTGCGTTGATGCGCGGAGCGCGTGATATCACCCCGTGATATCCAACGACGGCACTGTCGCGGAGCGTGACACGACGGTCGAGCGGCGAGGCACGCATCGGCAAAGGGCTCAAGGTCACGAACGCGCCGTTGCCGCGATAAAGGTAGAAATCCGCAAAAGGGCACCTCCGTAGATTAAAGTGAGAAAGAGATAAATAGACAGACAGACAGAGAGAGAGAGAGAGAGAGAGAGAGAGAAAGAGAGAGCGGATCCACCACGCGAGCTCTTCGCGCGATCCCTTCTCTCGAGGCCCCGGTCCTGGTCTCTCAGTCCCGGGCCGTAGACTGCTGCCTGGAAACCCTCGGCGTACGGAGTACGCTCGTGTGCCTCGTTCTCCTCCTCCTCCTGTTCCGCCACCACCCCCGTCGCCGAGCAACCCTGACTCCGCGTCCCGTCCCGCAACTCGCCGCCGATAAACTTCCTACGGGCACCCTCTGATACTCTCTCTTTCTCTCCCTCCTTCTCCCTTTCTCTCTCTTTCTCTCTCTATCCTTCTCCTCATCCCCTCGCCCCTCTTCGTTGTGCAGCCCGCACCAGGAACATCTAGCAGCGCCTGCGCCATCGTCATCCGTGCCCCTGATGCCCGGGCACTGCCGCTGCCACTGCTGCTGCCTCCGCTTCTACCGCTTCCTCGCTACCTTGGCGAATCTCTCTTCCGTCTGTCTCCCTCGCGCTTTCCGCAACGGCTGTTCCCGTCTTCCTCATTCGGTAGCCCTTTCCGAGGCAAGACCCTCTACGCAGCACGTAGAGCAAGCACCAGCTCCCGCGCGGACTCACCTCCCGCGCGCTTCTTCCGTCTTTCTTTTTCGCTCTCCCGACAGTACTCTCGTCGTCCCCTTCATACACCGAATTTCAATTTTTTTTCCCGCCGCCTTGCCCTCCCACCCTTCACCCGTTATGCACGATCTTATCTCCTCGTTTCGATGCCGACTGCGATCGCTAACGATGCCCGGCGAATCCGATATCACATTGATGAGGAGGGAATTAAAAATGATCTGCGCGCGGGTCGGGTGTTTAGCCCGGTACAATCGTCATTAGGGGAATGGCTGGGTTTACCCGTAGCTGCCCGAGAACGTCGAGGCCGCCCACCTGCCGAGCATCTCCGCTTCCGCCCGGGGAGAGCGAGAGCGACAGAGAGACCGCTTAATTTTAGATATTGTTCCCTCGGAATTGCGAGTTACACGATAGCCACGCGACACCAAGCGCGTACACTCGCGCGAACGACACTTTCGGTAGATTAAGCGCTACCCAATTCATTTTATTTTCTACGTGTTGATCGCTCCGAGAGAGAGAGAGAGAGAAAGAGAGAGACAGAGCGTCTTCCGGAAAAATGACTCCCACGACGCGCGGAGTTCCAACGCGATTAATAAAAAAAAAAAAAAAAAAACGACTTTGTATTTGCACACGGACACACACTATTCAGCAAGACATAAATCCCCGCGCGATAGATATGTTACTGTTTTTAGAATACGAAACGTGAACTATATATCTTTGTACCACGTCCTCCTCTTCGCGAGAGAGAATAAACTTTTTAAACCGAGGTAAGAACGCGCGAGAACCCGCGCGGAGAAACGACGTGCGTTCGTTTGCAAAATTTGTTTGTTGGCGAATATTTATGACACGATATTGCTGCGCAATTATGCCACGACGAATTTTTTTTTGTCAGAAACCGAATCCGAACGGCGCGTAAACAACAAAAATAACTCCGCGGATGCGTTGTTAATTGGTCGAAACGTTTTTGCGATTGTTGTTAATAAAATATTTTGTTAAAAAAGCCTCGTAGAGTTACGCGTTTGTTTGGGAATACGTTTTTGCAAAACAGAGATTCTTCCGACTGTCAAAAATTGCAATATTGTCGATACCAGCGTCGAATATTATTGTGTTCCGTGTAATCCCTTATCGTTCCGTACGACCTCCCGGGATTATCCGGCCTGATCCGGCGGCGGTGGCTTGTCCGCGGCAACTTGAAGTCGCGAGACCCGTTGCGAGAACTATAGGGTCGCGCGCGCACTTCAAGGAGATCACGACCTACTAGCGACGACCTACACCGAACCGCTGCTGTTCACGAGAGGTTCACAGCCGCGTACGGGGAGGGAGGGAAGGGGTGGTGGCCGAGAGACAGATCTGAGCTGACGCCATGAGAATAGCGGGAGGCGGAATTTAGAATGACGGAAGTGATTGTCCCGAAATTACGAGGTAGGATCTCGCCGTCGGGAGGAGCAGCGTCGTTAGCAGACTCGAAAGATCGCGCTGCACGAACGTGTTGCACGGGCACAAAAAAAAAAAAAAAAAAAAAAAACCGAAGGAAAAAATCAGAGAGGGAGTAATTGAGATTCGGAGATTTCCCGGATCAAATCCCGCGAACACAAATCACGGTGTGTCGAATTGTCAATATTTGTCGCGTCCGCTTTATCTCTCGCGCGAGGAGGACAGATTCGTGCGTACATTTCCAAAAATCTCGACAGGCCGACGCGCGCGCAACGACGATATTGATTTTGTTTATACAGAGACGCCCGTTATTTTGTATTTTGTACATCGCCGAATCGCAACGGCGTCATCGATATCAACAGGCGAATTTTCCTTTTCCGTCGCGGATATGTTCTCTTAGAGAGAGAGAGAGAGAGCGCAATCCCGAAAAGAGACGCGAGCGTTCGCGCGTAATATTTTGATCGCGCGCGAAAGTATCGCGAATTAACCGCAACCTCGAAGCTTCCGTGTGTTCCGACGATTAATCGGCGCGGTGTAACGTAACTTTGACTAATCGCAGTCAGGTGTGACTCCGTGTACCGCGCATTATTACTCACGAATAAACGCGATTCGGTAGCGCGCATGTCGTCGATACCGCTCAACGTTATATTAATAACGTATATTAATAATCGGATCTATTAGAGAAACGTACGCGGCGCCAACACGAGTGCGCCAGCACGAAATGACGATTGCGTATTGTTTCGCACGCACCCTCGCCGAAATTTTGAAAACCATCTATTGGTGCTTTGTGATACACAACTCGCGGACGCAACACACTGCGATGTAAATATCACAAGCATCACACTGGTCGAATATTTATTAAGGAAATAATTGTAACAAAATATTTATATATATAATATAAAATATTTTCATATATATAATATTTGTTTATATAATATTTATACAACACTATAATATAAAAAAAAAATATTATATACATATATATATGAATATATATATGTAGAGTTATAGAAAATATTTACAAATTACTTAAAATTGTTATTGAGACAATTGTTGCAATTATTATTCAATTCAATTTTTAAACACACGTGACTGAAGTAAAGTCACGTGACTTTAGTTACGTTTTATTTTATCTTGTCTTCCCAGTCACACGCACACACACGTGACTTTTCTGTAGTCACGTTTTTAAAGACGCGTGACTAAAGGAAAGTCACGTGACTTTAGTGTTCTTCCACTTTTTCTTCTCTCTATTTTTTGAACATGATTTTCATACGTTATTTCTGACATTTCTCATATGTGTATTATATGGACCGCGACTTCGTTACGCGTGAACTTGGTGCGAGGCACTACCGCGTGCCTCTTGATTCGTTGATTATCATTTACATATTTATTAATTATTCCGTCAATGTAAATGTGCGAGATCGTTGGGATCAAGTTACCTCACATTCAAAACACTTAAGTCGCAACTTCTGCGCTTTACACACAAACGAGATTCGTATCAATTCCGAACGATCGGTGTTAATGAGTTCTGTTATACAATGAAGAGGAGCTTCCGCTAAGATGACTGAGAGAGAATTAAGACCGGTTAGCGATTGTTCCGAAATTACGACGAACCAGTCGTTAAATCCTACTTGCGTGGGGGATCATCCTTCCCGCTGATTAACTTTTAATGATCTTAGCATAAGCTCCTTCAGATAAGAGAGGTATCACACACTCCGCGCGCGTGCCCCCCCCCTCCCCGCTCTCCGAATTTACAACAATTCCCGCAATTCCTTGATTATCAGTATTTATACGTACGTTAATTTATTAACGCGCATATCGTAAAACGCGCGCAGAACAAGCTGATAAATAAGCCGGAAAATAAGCTGATAAACGAGATTAAAGCATCGTGTGTTTTTATGATTTACGCTTGTTAGCGCACCGGCGCGAATCGCGCGAATAGGTCGGAGAGGAACATCACGTGACTCGAAATAAATGAGCGCGGTCGAAAGGTCGAATGGAAAACGTTAACAAGCTTACGGGGGATAAACATAATAAACCTGTTACATTAGACAAACGCCACGCGAAAGTAAAATCATATCCCCGTTCCGCGAATATCGCGCGTAGGTACGTAAACCGAAAAACTTTTCGAGTATAAAACTTTCTCTTCCTTGATACTTTATACAGTATATCTCGCGGATATTTCTTTTAAAGATTAAAAAGTGAGAGATCAAATGTGTGTTTTATCACGAGGGAAAAGTAAGTTTCGGTCACACGTGTGTGGGTGAGTGTGCGGGTGTGCGCGGATGTGATAAACGCTTCTGTCGTATTTCTGGCAGTAACGTGTTTGCGCGGCGCCACTCGCCCGATTGTACATTTGAACGATATTTCGGGCATATAATTAACAGATGAAGCTGTCGCAACGTGCGAAAGCAATTAATCGCAGGCGTCACGCATTTTCCTCCACCACGCGGGAGAGAGCGGCGCAGGTTGATTAACCCTGTTTTGCGTCGAAGCAAAAACTCGTATCGTGTTTCTAACCGTAATTATTGTACACGACGT